CTAATTGACAATATCATAACAACTGATATCTTCAACAGCGACATTTAAAAAGGCATTTTAAAATCTGAAATTTCTAACTATTTTCCAATATTTCTGACACTTAACTCAAACGCTACGATTAATAATAACTCTTCAATAATATTTATGCGTAATTTTAATCTTACTAATATGAACCTTTTTAAAAATCAGTTACTTTTTTTGCATTCGGTTCTTAATAATTTCAAGAGAAATGCAGAGACCATTTATGAGACCTTTTTTAAAACAATATATGTCGTATATGATCCTAACTTTTCTATTATTGAAAAAAGTTAAAATAAAATATTTAAATAACTCTTGGGTTACCAAGGGTTTTAAAAATTCATTAAAGAAAAAAAGCAGTAGTTGTACATAAAATTTCTTAAAACGAAATCATGTGAAAATGAGAAAATATACAAAGATTATAAATATTTGTTTGAAAAAATTTGTAAACACTTAAAAAAATTATTACTCTAGAATATTAGACAAATTTAAAAATAACTCTAAGCGCACTTGGGAAGTAATAAAAGAAAATATTGGCAATCAAAAAATATTTTTATGTTCCCTCCTTCAGATGATTAAAGTTGATAACAAATGTATATATGAATCAAAAGCTATATCTGACAAATGTAATAGGTTTGACAAATGTTTAAGGTTCCCTTTACCCCAGCTGCCTTTAATAATTTCTTAGTACCAATGGGCGATTGCAACTGTTCTAAAGAAATATTCTCAGAACTATCTTTTCACGAATTCGAAGTTGCTTTTAAATCTCTAAAGAAAAAAAAACTATTGTAGCTGATGGAATTAATGGCGACATAATTTTGAGTGTTTTAAATCATCTTAAAGATATTCCTTTTAAATTTTATAAATCATCTGCCCACAAAGAAGTTTTTTCTGAACAACTAAAATTGCAAAAGTTATTAGGTTTTGAAAGAAGGGGACTGTTAGGGTTCAGTCCTATCTATATTATAAAATATCTATCTATATATAACATATCTATCTTATCTAATTTTTTGAAAATCTTAAATCTTAAAATCTTAATGCACAATTGAGTATACAATTTTGTTTACAATAATCTTTTATATAATAATCAATTCGGTTTAAAAAAAAAAAATTCCAAACATGAACATGCAATCATCCAATTTGAACAAGAAATCTTAAATTCCTTTCAAAGATTCCAATTTACATTAAGTGTTTTTATTTTGTCGAAGGCATTCAATATTGTTGACCATGAATTCCTGCTCAAAAAACATATAAAATTTGTTAAACAGAGTTTAACAAATTTTATATTATAATTCGAGCACCACATTTTTGGAATAAAGTTGTTAAAGCTAATTTTGTTATATCCAATACTTTTCCAATCTTTATTTACTAATAATTTCTTCAGTATTATATAAATTTATTGTAAAAAGCTAAAATTAACTTAAAAACTGATAGGGGATAATACCTAATAAAAGTTATTATCCCCTATCATTTTCTTCCTTATTCTTTAATTTTTACAGCCAATATAGAGTCTTGAAAAAATGAAATAAAATCTTACAATCGACATTCAGCACAGCCGATTTTAAACCATTTCAAAGCCATATTAAGAGCACAAAGGTTTTCTTTGTTTGGTTCTTAAAATTTTTTGCGCTTAGAAAACAATTTGTACCTTTCAATTGATTAAGAAGAATTGCAGTTTTGTTAATGGCTTGATTCACCAACATTTGCCAAAGTTAGAAAAAGCTACTCTTCTGTTGATACTCGAAGATTAATTAATGTAAACCCAACTAAAATCATTAATAAAAGATGATGGTGCTAAGCCAACACATATCTTCCAAGCTCGGATTCTAATAGCCATTTGATATTTTTGATCTAACAATAACAGACTCCATTTTTTTTGGATCGGTCTTGTGTGTACCTTGTTAGGACCAATACTCCATAGGGCTTTCTTTTGTAGAAATTTGAGTTGCATTTTTTTTTTGATTTATTGTTTCCCTAAATTTCAACACCATACATAAATAGCTTCTAAATAAAGCATTGTATAAAACAACTTCAGATTTGCAAGGCAATAGATTATAAAACTTTCTTAGTAGATAGATGTCTTTAATTATCTTTTTTGATGTTTGTACTATATGGTGATTTCATATCATTTTGCCATCCCAAGAATACCAAGAATGCTAATAATTTTTTTTTATAATTTTCTCCACATTTAAATTTACTTCTAAATTTTTGCACTACCAAATATAACTAGTTTCGCTTTTTCAGGATGAAGTGATAGTCCATTTGCTAGACTAAAAAATTACAACTTTTTTCTAATTCCCTGCAACATATTTCCTATAACTGTTCAATAGAGTCAGCCTTTGCAATTACTGTTGTAACGACAGCAAAAAAGATAATCTCTAATTCTATTGCATGTTTCTTGACCAACACCCAACTTTACTACTCTTTCTTTTGATGTAGAATTTCCAAAATCAACTGACTGCCTTCTGTTCTTAATATGAAAAGTTCCATTTTAAAGTTTTTTCATCTGCATCAATGTTTTTGAGCTTGTTGTAAATAATGCTATGGGCACAGCTATCAAAAGCTTCTTTTACATCAAGGAAAATGACTGCAACAATTTTATTTTGGTTTTTATAGTCCGTTATCATATCGAGAATTTTTAAACTAGTTTGTATTGCGTTGCATCCCTTTTTGAAGACGAATTGGTTAATCAGAATAATTCAATTAACATAAAGATTTTTTTCAATTCGATATATTACAGCTTTTTAAAAAAATTTTGATAATGCTCGCAATATACTTATTGGCCTGTAATTCTCCATAATGGTTTTATTTCCTTTTTTACAAACAGGTTTTGTTATAGCTAGTTTCGATTCTTGTGGGAATTTTTAAAATAAACTTAAAAATTTTATTCTCTATATAAAGATACTGATATATTTAAATACTTTTTATAAAAACAACCTATTAATTTTTTAATTGTAAGACTTATTATTATATTTTTGTAATTATTATTATAATTATAATTATTATTATTGTATTTTCTCTTTCCTATAGCAAAGAGATGTCACTGTATTTATTTTGAATATATATTTATCTCTTGTATTTATATATTTGCACTTTTATAGGTTCTGACAAGAAGATCCAACTTTTTTATTATATATTGCAATAGGGATATTCTTCCGATTTATGTTTTTAATATATAACACAAACTTTTATTCTTATATTTTTATGTAAAAAAGTTTTAAACTTGTAAAAGATTCAGATGATCATTATAACTTTTATTTGTTTGTTTTTGTAATATTTTGCCTGATGATTGCTGATGCATAAAACTTAGTAGTAAATATTATGCAGTTATTTTTTTACTTTATCTCGTCAAACAAACAATTTATATGTATATATATATATATATATATATATATATATATATATATATATATATATATATATATATATATATATATATATATATATATATATATATATATATATATATATATGTATATATATATATATACAGTATCTGGCCACAATAATATGATCACCTACAATTTTTGTATATTTTTAACTTCAAGGGCTTGTAAAAAGTATTAAAAAAGTACAATTGCAATATTAGTTATATATTATTGATAAAACATGTTTTCGTAATAATGGAATAATATTTCAAAATCAATTTTCAAACGTTTTAACAAACAAATACTATTTTCAATTGGAAGTCATAAAAAAATATTAAAACTTAGTCAACAAAATCACTTTAGCTATTCGGTCTGGCATTTACTTTTAATACAGTTTATTGCTGCTGTTTTAATTTTTTCATTGTGGTGCCAATGATAGAACAATTTTTCTTACCCTTTCCCATGTTTATTTTTGATTGAAAATTTTAATTACAACCTATTACACAAGAAATGTTAATAAAATAATACTATATATATTAATTCATGTTATTTATTGTAACTTTATAAAATGTATTACAAATAATAAAACACTTATCACTCAAAAAAACTGTTAAAATATGAAAAAAAATTATGTGACAGATCAACCAAGTTCTATTTAAAATTGACAAAAATTCACCATGCTGACTTGAAACACACCTAAATTCACATAGGTTATGATTATAAAAAAATTTTCGTTTCTATTTTATTTGGTAGATGTCAGTATTGTATAATAAGTTAGTAATAATAATATACTCACCTTACTTTAAAATAACTTTGAATCCAAAATATGTGGGAAAAGGTGATCTTATTATTCTGGCCAGGGACTGTATTTATTATATGTATATATATATACACATACAAACATATATATGTTTGTATGTGTATATATATATATATGTACACATATATATATATACATACACATATTTACATACACATGTAAAGTAGTTAAATATAAGTTTTATTTTTTCATTTAATTTTCATTTTTTCATAAAAAATGAAAATTAAATAATAAAGAATAATGGCTGTGCTAAATCATCACCTTAAAGTCAAACTTAAAATTGTCTAAATCATCACCTTAAAATCAACCTTAAATATGTCTAAATCATCACCTTAAAATCCTAAAATCCTAAAGTTGAAGATTTCAGTTTCAGCATTGATAGTAAAATATAAAAATTCTTATTCTTAAAACACTAAAAACAGTTTTTTCAAAAATATTTGCACTAATTGACAATGATAACTTAATAGCCTATTTAGCCTCTTAAAAATTTCCAATGCCGAGAGAGGCTAAAAAAAAGTTGTGGCCCAGTTTAACACCTGTATTTTAATAACAAGTTAGAAATAAGTAAAAAAAAAATTAACAATATTATAAAAGCTTATATTCTGAAAAAGCTAAATTGACAACAGTTTCTTCAACAAATTTGAAAATATTAAATTCTCATTTAAAATGACAAAACCTTTTTTTAACTATTTGATTTTAATCTTACTTTTACCTTTAAAAAACTGTATTTAAGCTCATTTTAACAATTTTAAATATTTTTTATTTAATTAATTTAAGAATTTTGTGTCACCTACCTATTCTAAACTCTTGCTCAACTATTTGAACTATATCTACACGTTTAAATGAAATTAACTTTTCTTTCAACTGTATCCAACGTTGGAGCCCATTTAGTTGAGTCCACTGATTTAAAACAGCTACCGCTTTTGCTTCCGCTGTTCTGTTATTATAGTCAATGTTATTAATATCTTCATTACGTAAATTGAGATGGCGTCCAAATCTAGCGAATTCATCTCCAATTAAATAGCCAACCCTATCAATGACTATTGGTCTCAGATCACTTTCATATTCTAATGTAAAATAAAATGATTATTTAAATTATTAACTTCTGTTTGTTTTGATAAAGAATGAGAAAAAATTAGTATACTATAAGTTTATAAGCAGTTATATATAATATAAAATATAATTTATTATTTTTACAAAAACCTTTTTTAGATAGAAGCAGTTGTCAATCGATTATGCCTCCTTAACCTTTGAAAATGTCTTTTGAAAGGATCTCTCAATTTGCATTTTGCTTATTTAGACTATTTTTGAGCTTTTTTACTGCTAGAAATGAGAGGAGTCACAGAAAACCATTTGGGTCATTGGACCATTCCCGCCTAGTTCTGACAGCATTTTTTTCTTCTGAATAAATCAGTTTTTAAGCCACTTTTAAGCTTTTTTATGTCTAGGAACAAAATATTTTTCCGTCAAGGGACCATTCCCACCCCCCTAATACTTTTAAAATATTTATGACGAATAGACTTTTTTATCTGTATGTTATACCTGTATCTTATTTAATAAACCTTTAGGCTTTTCAATGTTTGGCATCAATACTATTCACAAAGAAATATTTGTCTAAAGTTTTTCTTAGACATTAAAGGTTTTTAAATAAAATATTTTTATGATAGGATTAAACCTAGTCACAGATTTTTTTTTAAGACGAGTGTTTAGAATCTCAGAAAAACAGTGGTTTTTAAAGCTGTTTTACTGTTTTAGAACTTTTAAAAACAGCAGTTAACAGCTATTTTACAGTTTTTTTAAATTTGGAAAACTTTTGTTTGTAGATGAACACTCTTAGGTGCTTAGTACATGCGAGGAATTGTTTGCTAAATTTCAGAAACTTTTCTCACCCTCCTCAAGCTTATTAAGCCCCCACCCTCCCTCCTGTTTACTTACTTTTACTTGTTATCAGCAAAAAAAAACGTCTCAAAACAAAAAAAAAAAAAAAAAAAAAAAAGTTAAAAACTATGTATATCAGTCACTGATAAGTATAAAAACTTTCAGTGTAATCAGTAGTAGTTTATCCAAAATTTTTTTATTTTTTTATTATAGTAAAAAACTTGTATAAGCATATTAAATTCTATTAAAACTATGACAAAACAGATGTCAGAAAATACGCATTTTACTGCAACCACACTAGAATTAAATTGTTTTATTCAAATTTTTTTTAACACTTAATATCCAACATAAACATTAGTTTTTATAATGTATTTCAAAACTAGAAGTGCTGATAATGACTTATCGGAATGTTGTGATCTTATTGTTTAAAAGTTGGTGCACACAGTATACTCTTTGAAAACTCATAGATTTGGGCTTTTTTTTTTATTATTATGTTTCACCTCCCCAAGGCCGAGAAGGCCACTACAGTCAAGGAGGCTATTTTTTAGTTGTGGTTACAACCCTTTCTCAACTTTATAACTCTGAAACACGAACCTTGACGAAAAAGGCCGCTGCGCGAAGAAACAAGTTTACCAAAAACATAGCCCTCTAGAATATTGAAGGTGAAACCTGCCCAATGATGTGGCTTATAACAGATGAGACAAGACAAATAAATAGGAAAGATTGCAATCAAAAAGGATATAATAACATCAAAACTAAAATAGGACGGAAAATCAAAGCATTTACAAACATTCAGATTATACAAATAAAGACATTAAATGCCATATAAAACTTTAACATTGAGAACACTACAAACACAAAGCACAATAGTTTACATAAACTTACAGAACACTGAAACAACACTTACTCAAATCTAACTTGAACAACACTCACTTAACTCTAACTTAATAACAGAATAATACTCCCCTTTTAAACACTACCTTTCAATAATGGACACCTGTCCAAATATTATAAGTGATCTAGCACATTTTTGTAATTTTAAAGTTGTAACCTCATCGACAGTTATGTTTAACTTTTCTTTATTGGCTACTTTTTGTTTCTTCTCACTTGCTCTCTGCTCTGTTAATATAATTGATTCTGTTGCCTTATATAAATAAATTCCTTGTCCTTTAAGTCATCTTTTAAGGCAGTTGTAGAATTTTCTGAGCATTTTAATAATTTGTCACAACGCTGACACCGTCCTTTAAACTCTGACAGTAATAAGAATAAGTAGCCGTTTTACCCACTGTTAAAAAAAAATCATTACTGATAACTATGCGATTATTTCTAACTAATGTAAAAAAGTAATTGGTGCTAGAAGCTCTACTTATAACTTAAGAAACTCTTAAGAAACTTTTAGTACTAGGTTGTTAAAAATGAACTATTAAAATAATTAACTGCTTGTATTGTGTGCTTATTAGCCTGTGTGCTTAGTTTTTGTTATATATATTTTTTAAAATTACGTAGGTATTATCAAGTCTGATATAGATGCGCTATGTCTTTAAAAAGATCTTGACACAGCTGTTAACTGGTCTAAAAATAGCTCATTCCATTCAACATTGAAAAATACAAAGTTATTCACATGGGCAAAAAAACAAAAAACATATCATTTAAATAAAATGGAATCCTAAAATGGTCATCAAAAACTACTTGAAACCACAGCAAATGAGTGCGATTAAGGGGTTATAGTATCATATAACTTAAAAGTAAAGTTACAAGCTGAGCAGCTTCAAATAAAATTCTAGGGAAATTAAAAAAAGAATTTAGAAGTCATGATTAAACTCTTAGGCGTTTCCTGTATACTACTAACTTGCTGCCCCAGCATGGTCTCCTCATTGCATATGAAATATAAATACAGTTGAAAAAAATCAGCATTAAACCACAAAATATTAAGTAAATAAATCACCTAAAATACGAGGATTGTTTAACACGGCTTAATATGACTACCCTTGAATCTCGCCACATCCGTACTGACCTAATACAGCAATACAAAATAATTAACGGAATCAATTTAACCAATTTTGTAGTGCCACAAATTGCACTAGCTTATCGAGGATCTAAGTATAGTTTAAGAACAAAGAGTCACACTTTTGAATTAGCCGCCAAAAAAAATTAAAACACAAACTTCTTCACTAATCGAGTTGGTAAGAACTGGAATTCCTTAACAACTACCACAGTAAACGCACCATCGCTCAAAAGTTTTAAATGTAGACTTGGATAGTTCAATATATTCATGCAATTTGGCTAGGGCAGCTATAATTGCAAATGTTGTCAGAAAAGAAGGGTCGTTGCCTGTCACTAATTAAGTTATCCATTTTAAACAAATTCTTTACCACGAACTATTTTTATTTTTATTAAAGTTACTTATTATTCTATTTTTAAAACTATTTATTAAATTGTCATTAAAAAAAAAAAATCAAACCAAATTACTATGAAAGTTGTTTTAAAAAACGTGCTGTTAAAGAAACTTTTCTTTTAGCATTTTTTTTCCCCGCATGATTAACATAGTATAAATATTATTTTTACAAACCACGTACACTTGGATAACATAAAATAAAATATAAAAGTATATACTAGACTTATAACAAAATTAAGTTAAAGCAGATAAGGGCTCACAGAAGATAAGAATAAAAATACATTATCGCAATCTTTTTATAGAACCTCTTAGTACAAATTTAAATAATATATCGTAATGGTAAAAAGCTCGCATAAAATAATATAATAATAACAAAATAACCATTAAAATAGTGAAGACATAAATTAATCATACAAAGAAAAAAAATTACTAATAATCATTTTTAAAAATTTCTTTTTATAATTAAAACTTAAATGAATTTAAAAAATTCACCATAAATTTAAATTCCTTTTGACCATCATTTCTTATTTTAGATCCTCTATAGGATATACAAAATTCTGAGAGTTTATTACATTTCCGAGGCAATTTAAAGTTTTTATTTGTATTTGATCTTAGATTATAATTTTCATTTAAATTTGTTTCAAACTTATCTTTAGAGTTTGCTGGAAAGAGGTTGTTGTAGTATCTGTGCATAAAAATTATATGCTGATAGATATTTTTTTCAAATATATCCATCATTTTCATATCTTTGATAATAGGTTTTGCATGCTCTCGTTTGTGTTAAATGATACGGCAAGCTTGTTTCTATTGCCTATAAAATTTTTAAACGTAATTAATATATTTTCGGATCAGTCCAAAATATATTAATTTCACCAATAGTTTTGGTAACTTTTGATTGTATATAGTTTTGATGGAAAATCTAGGATAAGTTTTCATTGACAAGGATTGCAAGGAACTTTATACTTGCTTGATTTTAAATAACGCAAGCAAGTAAAAAGTTCCTTGCAATCCTTTATTTAAATGATTATTTAAATAATCATTTAAATAAAGCTCGTGCAACTTAAGAGGAATGTTTGATTCTTGTATTTTTTCATGGAATAGAGAAAAATTCATTTCTCAGCATTAAGTAAGAGTTTGTTTTCTCTAAACTAAATTTAATTAACATAATTTAATTCCATATTCATATCTGTATATATATGTTTAATATCATTATAGATAACAAATAAATTTGCATTGCCTGCAAACATTATTAAGATCAGTTTTAATGATGCATTACAAAAGAGCGGAGCAAGGATTAATCCCAGCGGAACTCCAGATACAATATTTAATATTTCGGAATGAACATTTTGAACATATTGCTTTCTATCAGCTAGATAATTTTTAATCCAGAAAGAAATTCTAAATTTTATACCATATTTAATTTTTTCGAAAAAAATGCAGTGGTTAATTGTGTTGAATGCTTTAGATAGATCTCTAAATACTCCTAAAATAAATTCTGGTTGACTATTTCAATAATTGCATACTCAGTTCTTTGGTTGACTATTTCAATTATTGCATGCTCAGTCAAGTGATTTTACTGAAATTTGAATTGTTTTGGGTAGAATAATTTGTTTTTAGTGAAATATTCAAATATTCTATCATAAATTATGCATTCAAACAATGTTGAGAATACAGAAAGAGATAATATAGGTCTATCGTTTGTAATGTATGAATAATCGTTACCTTTGTAACCTGGAGTTATTTTAGCTATTTTAAGAGCATCAGGAAAAATATCAAACTTTAATGAGTGTTTTA